TGTATTTGTTCAATTTTGATTTAGTTGCTGAAGCAGGAAATCAACACAGTCAGACATGGTTACATCTTCCTATGTAATGCACTGGATAAGTGCAATAATAGGGACTGGAAGGTGCATGAAATCCTCACAAAATTACTGGCATTTATAGTTCAGAACAAATCTGCATAATTACATAGGCTTTTAAAAAGAGAAAAAAACAATTGTCTTACACCTGAGCTGTATCATACAGATTTTATGATTTTACCCAGTTATTAGCACAGTCAGACCAGTAATTTAGTTGTGTATCACATCTGGAGTTCTCTGCATTTCTGTACAAACTTTCCTCAAGTAATGAACTCCAGTTTTCTACTTATATGGACTCTTGGCAAAAGTAACTTTAAAGAGAAAATTAAAAGGAAGTAAAATCATGGCTGCAGCAAGACACACTTCCTGCAAGGCATGATTAAGCTACAGTAGAAAGGGTAAGTTTAGGACACAGCTGCTGCTGTATAGCCATGGTCTGAAAGGCTTTCAGGAGCTATACTCTAGAGGTTTTAAGTGCCAGGAGGGACTTCCAGTACTCTGTAGAGAAAGAATCTTTGTTCATAAAGTTGACATGTGCTGGATTCTAGCCAAACTATTGTGTTTGTAGATGGGCCTTTGACTCTTTTTATTTAAATGGTTGAGCTAATTGCTGAGCTGTGGGTGACTAATGTTTTAAACAGAATCAGAGACATCATTCCCTGGTTCGGCCTTCTCCTTCCATTGGCATCTCTGTGGAAGGGCAGGATTCAAGTTTTGAAATATTGTGGTGCCCGTCTTTGATAGATGTGTGCTGTTGAAAACTGGGCTTTGAAAATAAATATTTTCCCCAAAAGGGAGGGTGTGCTAGAGAAGGATGGGAGTGAGAATGCTGCTGGGCAAGGAGGTACTGATGTGAATGCCCAAGAAAGCAGAGTGAGAGCAGGGGGCAGCCTGTCCAACTGGAACATATGAAAGCTCTACCTTGCATCAGGAGCAGTAGGGTTCTGGTGCTCTAAGGTGCTGAGCTGCCAGCTACTGATTCCTAGGTCAAGTCTTGCCACTTGCTCCTTACAGAAAAAGAAGTTGACCTGTTTTAATATATATTAACATGATAGTTGGTAGGCTGCTGAGAAATGGGAATCTCTTGTCTGGGGAAATTGGATATGTGGACCAAGAGAGTCTCTGCTTTGGGTAGCATTACAAACAGACAGAAAATGCAGAACACATACCAAGGAAGGGGTGACCCATTTTGCAAAGGTACAAAAAAGCAGCTGTCTTGTCCCACTTGCATCCTTCTGATTATTTAATCTGATAGGTGCTTTGTTTGTTTAATTTGAAGTTCCCCTCAACTGAGAGGAACTAACTTATGATTTCCACATTACTCTGTAAATATGTTCCAGATCACAAAAGCTAGTACTTTTCTTGGTGTCATATTAGACCAGTTCTCCTTTGCTACCTCAATAAAGACACTCCAACAGCAGCTGTGATATTTTTCCTTATTATTAGAGATCAGTAGTTAAAGCTGAGGTCAGAAGAAAAAAGCACAGCATGTTAGGCATTAGTGGCTTTGAAACGGCAAAGGCTGTGAGGGTGCAGGCAGATCCAGAGAGGTATGGATGCATGTTTGTTTCTAAAAACTCAGGTCCTAAAAATATAATGCAGATTTTTAAAGCATGTGGAGTCACGTTTTCAAAGTATCTCTGCACCCCAATGCATGAAGACCAATAACAGTGACTCTTCAGCAGATCAGCATGGGATCTTTCTACTTCAAATTATCTGCATCCTTCACAAACCACATGCTTTAGAAGACTTGTTTATTCCTGAAACCTGCTGCTAACCATGCTGATTATTCAAAACTGGAATGAGCTTTCCAAATATACTCATCTTCCTTGTATTAATTCTGAGTACTTTAACTGAACCAGAGATCACACTGAGAAACTGAAGACTATGAGCATGACCTGGCATATTCTATTTAGCAGCTAAAATATTCTCTGTGACATCACCTGTAGGACCACTGTGTGGAAAGGATGTTATGTCACTCTGTTAGAGTAAGGATAAGGTTTTCAGAACTCAAGATAATGTGAAAGTGCACAGTCCAGATTTGAGCACTTACTGAAAAAGAGCTGTTTGGGTGCAGAAGCCAAATGGATAAGCAGTCTCCCTGCAAATTTGGCGTGGAGCAAGAAGATGAAGGTAGGATTTAAAACTAGAAGTGCTGTGGAAGGGAGGTAACAACCCACATGTAAATGCAGAAGTAGCAGACAAGGGTGGAAAAAAATAGTATTGGGGAGTCAGAGCAAGACCTCAAGAATTGTGAAACAAGGTAGAAGATCTCACCATCAGAGTGAGAAAATGCTTTGAGTCTGGGGAATATGCAGGATCAAATGAAACTCTGCACATAGTTGCAAAGAAATAATGTTACTGGAAAACAGATGTTGAGGGACATTTCTCACTACCAGAAGCTCATCAGGAAAAGAAGTTATATGAAGGAGACACTTGGGTGTGAGGGGCTTCTGTCCGGATGGATGAGAGCTGCTGGAGAACTTGTGGATCAGCTTCAGTGAAGAGGCCAAAAGGAGTGATTCTGTTGTGGGAGTGCATAATAGACCATCCCAAGACAGTGGACATGGGGACTTCTTAAAACAACTCATGGAAACTTCTGTCTCACAAACCCTCATTGCCACCAGGAGCTTGATCTACCCTGATGACTGCTCAAAAGGCAGCACATATATAATGTACAATCAGGGGTGGTACACATTGTGCTTCACTAGCAATGAAGAACTGTTTGGGAACATAATAATCAGCGGCAACCTAGGCTGGAGTTATTGTGAAATAGTGAAGCTCAGAACCATTAATTGAGTGAGGACTAAGAACAGCAAAGCATAGACCTTGGACTTCAGGTGAACAGACTTGTCATTTTGGGGAACTAGTAGCTGGGATCCCACCAGGGAATGCTCTGAAAGATAAAGCAGCACAGGAAAACTGCGAGAGTTTAAGCACAATGCCTCCAAATGCAAGAAATAAGTAAGCACACCAGCAGATGAGTGAACTGTGATCTCACGGTAGGGCTTCAGTGCAGAAGAGATAGGGGAAGCAGAGACAGGCTACAAAATGAAAATTTGGAAGCATTTGCTGGTCATTATGGTTGGTGTCAGAAATGTTAAAACTCATTAATTGAAGCTGATGTGGGTATCAAAAGGCAACAGGAAGAGTTTCCATCACTACACAAACAGCTAAACAAGGCAAACATGGACTTGCTGCTGAAAGAAGGAGATGATTCAGTGACAGTGAACAGTGATAAGATCAAGGCAATGTGTACTTTGCCTTAGTTTGCACCATCAAGGTCTCTGATGTCTCTGTGTTTAGAGATGGTTCAAGGATGAGGAACACAACCAGCAATAGCAAGGAAGGACTGGTGTATTGATTGTGAGATCTGAACCTGCCCAAATCCATGGGATCATCAAGAATCCTAATGGGATCATTGCAAGACCAAGGAGATGGAGAAAGAGAGTTTTGCATCCTCTCAAAAGGACAATCCAGAGAACAAGAGCTTTGTCATTCTGACTCTCTCCCTGGGTACATCAGGCAGCAAGTCCTCAGGGAACATTTCTGGACAGTTGAGGAAGGGGGTGGGGATGGGAACAGCCATCCAAAATTTAATAAGAATAAATCATGTCTGACCAACATGATTATCTGCAATAACAAAATATTTGCAGAGAATGAGAGAGTAGTAGATAGCATTTACAGCAACTTTAGGAATTCTCTGATAAGCAGAAATTGCCTGTCATTGCAACATCAAAGTCCGTAAAAATACATAATTATTCATAGTTTTTCTCGGTACAATTCCTACCTTCTGTGATAGAAGACTGTATTAGTAGAAACTGTTCAGGTTAAAGCTAGTGGACTGGCCATAGGCAAGTGTACCTCTTTACGAATTCTAAATGTGATTTGTTTTGTATTATAAGCAGCAAAATGATGTCAACAGTGGTTCAAGATGGCTTGCGTCTCCTCCCTGCACACAAGTTTCTCTTAGAACTGTGTCTGTCTCCATTGTGTCCGAGGTACATGCTCAGGAAGAGGTTTTATTAGTTTTTTGGAAGCTCCTATATAACTCAACGCTAAGAGTCCTGCTGACTTTCACTGAGAAGAGTAAGTTTTTTGGAGGCTTTCAGAAACTCTTGCCTATGGGTGCCATTGTACCTACTGTTGCATGCTTATCTCCTTCCTCAGAGTCAGGCCTAGTCTTAAAGCCTTGAAGAGAGACCATGAAGCTATCTGAGTAAATTTTTTTTTTTTTTTGTCCTAGTCATTATATAACTTTTTTGGGGCTTTCATTATACAAATGTGACGTGCATCTTACATCAGCATCTAGATATATTGTTGACTATTTTGTTCATTTCTGCTGTCTAGAACATGTACTTTAGTCATGGTTTGTATCACAGGTCTTTTAGGTAGTGTTCATTTGTTACTTTGTAAAATAGGACAGGTTTATTTTGTCTACCCTGCAATAAGACCCCATGAGATCAAGGTAAAGGAGCAGTCCTATAAAAACAGAGGCTGTAACAATGTCTGTCTCGCCCACAATCCCAAGATGATGATCTGCCCTGTAGTTTTCAGTATACATTAAAAATGCTTCAATGATATACTTGAATTATGACTGTTGTATCCTGAATTGCTCTTCAGACTGAGGGAAGGCAGGAAGGATTTGTGTAATTGCAGGGAGGTGGTCTGATGCAGCAGAAGAAAAATTAATTTTCTGCCATGTAGAGTCTATGTCCTCCCAATCCCTGATTGCAGTTACCTGCTTATCTATTGTTTCCGGTGCCTTTCTGTAACCTCATGTAGGTCCTTTTCATACATGCACATGGTGAAATCCAGGCTGACATTCCTGACATTGCTGAATGCAAAACTGTGGTAACAGTCAGTCCTCAAATTGGCTTTGAACAGCTCTTGCGAGGTATCATACACAGTGCACAAAGCAGTGAAAATCAACTTACCTATTAGCGGGACAGAGTCAGAAGTTGCAGGCATGATCTCAGCCACGAGCAGCATGAATACAGTCAGGGAAAGAAGGACAGTGATACCTGGAGGGAGTGAACATATTTGGGAAGAATGAGGTAAATGAACTCTGCAGCTGCTCCTCTGATGTCTTTGCTGTTAAATAAAGCATTGTCCTGATATACAGCTAAGGCAAACCCATGACTTCATGTCTGTCAGAGACGATTAGAACTTCCACAAAGTGTGAGTGTTTTTAGATGCAACTCTATCTGCTCTCTTTTCCCTTTTCCCTAATACACACAAACCCTTGCTTCTCTCAAAGTAATGGAGAAATCTTTTTTACTGAGTGAAATGAAGCTTACAAAACTGATGAACTACAGTGCTTTTCCGAAACATTGCACAAAGCCCAAATGATTGTTAAGGGCTAGGAGAGACTTGCACAGACAGCAGCCTAGGTTTTGCTATCACATATTATATAACATCCCTCAAAGACATGCAGTCTGTTATAAAAGAAGCTGTTTATTCTATGTGGAAAGGCTGTTGCTAAACTTAACCATCCTGATACTGAGAAATCAAAAGGTCAATGCATTAACATTAGCTCATATTTTTATGTCAACATTGTACTTCAGCTCAAATAGCTCTTTTCCTTATCCCCATCCTTTATTTCATAGACAGCAATTGTACCCCTGATAGCCTGTGTTTTATTTTTTGTAAGGCAGGCTGCTCAGATACATTTTTTTAACCAAGAAAAGCCCCACTGAGGACAATTCATATGATTTAGAAGTCTCTATCCTGAGACAGAATCATGCACAATTAACTCTTAAGATCTCAGCTGGCCCAGTCTGGTGTATTTATAGGTCTTGCCTATCTCCTCTTGGAAGGAGACCCTTCCCATTTTTATCAACACACACAACAGTAAATCTCATTTAGCCCTTCCCATGGCTGTGTTCACAGGGCACACATGACTAGGTGTTTTGGGAGCTAATTTTTAAGGTGAAAATCCAGTGCCCAGCTGCTGCTGTTCACAGCTCTTCCACTCTTTGCTTCCTAGTATGTTTCATCTGAAAAAGAGAGCCAAGAGTCAATGAGCTGTGAAATGCTGTTCTGGTTTGACATTGGCACTTGCTGCTCCTCTACCTTCAAGAGTCCTACTGCAGATGGGTTCTCTGATAGTCCAGGCAAGGTATTCAATTGTTTAATACCCTCTATCTCCACTGCAGCTATTCCAAAAGCCCACCTGAATCCCTTAGGATCTTTATAATAGCCATTCCGGAGGAAGTCTATGCCCAAAATACACGGAGCCTCTGGACCAGTCACAATCAGATGTTCCTGCCACTCCTTCCCAGTCAAGCTCACCTCAGCTTCCAACAACGTCAACTGTTGTGATCCCCCCGTCACTCCAGCAATGGAAACAGGTTCTGTCCCCACGTGTTCCGATGGCATTAAGGTACATTGTGATCCAGTGTCAACCAATGCTTCATAGTCTTGTGGCTCTGATGTGCCAGGCCATCTGATCCACACCTTCCAAAAAACCCGGTTCTCCCGTGCCTCTTCCTGGCTGGAGGCAGGGCCCCTCTAAGCCAGATTGTCCTTCTTTCCTTGGGCATATGCCTTAGAAGTTCCTTCAAGGGGATTGGACATGTCATCATCATCATCATACTTAACATCTCGGCTACGAGCGACCGGATCTGCTATCTTTTTGGTGATACTTTCTCTTTTCTTCAAATCACGCACCCGTTGTGCCAAAGCAGCGGTGGGTTTTCCATCCCATCTTCTCATGTCTTCTCCAGACTCACGCAGGAAAAACCATAACTCAGCCCGTGGGATGTACCTTCTCTCCCCATCAAAGGAGCGCCGGCGTTGGACACCAGGGCTTCTTCCAGGGTTGTCCTTTTAAGGAGGCTGTGTCCAGTTCCAGAAAATCTCAATCTCTCACCTCTGGGACATCTGTCCCCCCATATTTTATATACCCCCTGGGGCCGAGGGGTACCCACACTGAATCTTCTTTGGCTCTCTTTGGGACATTTCTCCCCCTGGACTCAGTCTCTGTATTCCAGGGAAACATAGCTCTGTCCATGGCTACACAAAAGAGTCCAGCATAAAATGCCACTCCCTCTTCTCCATCTTTCTAACATCTCTCACTCTCTCTCTCTCTGGTCCAGACCTTCATCACTCGCTCATTTCCTTCGTCCTCCTCACCTCTTATCCCTCGTCTAGGAAGGGTTAATGTTCTGTGAAGTTTTCATTGTCCAAAAAAAGGGTTAAAAACTCCTCCAAGCGGCTGGACTCCTGGCTGCACCCCCCAACCATCTCCTCAGCCGGGCTGCCTGCTGTCAGCACATGTTTACTGCTTTCAAGGTAACGGCACACAAACACCGGCTGCACTCTCTCTGTCTGTCTCCAAGGTGAGGGGGGGGGAAAGAGGCTGCCCATTGCTTCCCGGCATTTCTTTAGTTCTTCCTTCCACCCTTGGGGGGAGGGGGCCAGGCCTACCTCTCCCGGGCCGAGCCGCATGGCTTTTCCCCTCCCCCAGCCCAGCCAGCAACTGGGCCGGGGGAGAGACTCAACTCCTTCACCGCCGGAAATCCAAAGAGAAAGTGCCAGGGGGAGAGCCCTGCTTTTACCCTGTGTTCTCGGAGGTGGATCCCATTCCCCAGTGGCTGGGCCAGATGGCAATATTCAAATCTGAGCACTCATTGGCCCCATCCACACAGCATCCCAGAAATCCTGTTTCCGGGTCAAACTATGACAAATGCATTGAGATGTACTAAAGTACATAACAACAGGCATGACAGAATATTATCACTGCCGCCTGTGCCAGCAACAAGTTCAGCTTCCTCCCAGGCCCCAAGATACTATATGTAGCAGAGGATGTGTGAATGCCACACAGAAAGCTGTTTCCTTGCTCCTGTAACCAAAAAAGTACTTCTATTGCTCTCTTCTAGTGAAATCTTTCTTCGTTGAGCAACATAGTGCCATGAGGTATTTTTTTTCCTATTTTATAGGACGCTTATAAAACAAATGAATATTTTAGCACTTACCTAAAGAAATCTTCTCTCCAGAATCAGCTGGCAAAAGGAATACAAGCAGTGCTAAACCAGATATGAGGACACAGGGAATGAGTAAGTTCAAGCCATAGTAGAGGGTGCGTCGACGCATGGTGATGGTGTATGTCACATCTGGGTATGGTTCTTTGCAGCATTCGTAGTACATCTCATTCCTCTTCCCTGGGACACCTACAGACAGGATGATCAGAGCAGTGAGGAGAGAGGCAGGACTCTCAGTTACCTCCCTGGACTGGATCAAGAAGTGATGGTTTATGAGCCAATGTGTGTCACCTCTGCTATTCTTGGTCCATCTTCTGTGTTTTCTAGGGTTTGCTTTCATGCCTTCTGAGTTATTCAAACCTAGCTTAGCTAATGAAGCTCATCTGAGACAGAATAAAACAGTCCTGAGCATCACAACCTCAACAATGTGCATTCTGCCTTCCTACATTCTGTGAATGGTAACATACTGTTGATGTGATATTCACTAGCACACGCAGCAGATTTTCTGGGTGACAAGTGCCACTGCTTCTTACTATTCTGTGATCCTCTATACATTTTTGCTCCTTTTTTTGTCAGGAAAAACAGACAGGCCTACTTTTCAAAAAGGATGCCAAGTTTAGCTCAAAGTCTGTTATATATCTGAAGGTTAAGAGACATAGCTGTCCAATACAGCTGCACTGCAGGGTTGTTCACGGTGATCCTGCTGCAGCAAATTGCCTGACATGCTCCATGATGGGGACTGCAAGAGCACTGGAAATGTCAGGAGAGATGGAAGAAGTCAGTACCTTGTATCTTTCATGCCAAAATTGCTCACTTCTCCTTTGTTTCTGTGGACATGACAGATGATATGACAATGTGTGCATTTTGGCAGAGGCTTAGAAAAGTCTTTTTAAAGGATATAGACATGGCTTGCCTGAGGTGCTATTTAATGCTTTTGCTGTATGAGCTAAATAAGTCCCTGTTTTGTTCTCCCCCAGTCAGGGCTGAAGGCAGATAAACCACAAACTCTTAATCAGATATGCAAAGTTATTGGACAAAAATACCCATTGTAAAGGAGGACTGGAAGGAAGGATTGCTCTAAAATAGTTGGACTTTAGGAGGATTTCACTATGGAGCTTTCTGGCTTCTCATAAAACTGAATATAATTTCTTAGATGCCCTGCATGGTAAAAATACTGCATGCAGTTGGGTAGTAAACTTATTTCCTTGTCTGTATATCTGGACCAGAAGATAAACATATTTTTCGTAACCTCTCCTTGCAGTTGTCTAAGTTCCATCAATTTCTGTAACATTGCTTGTGACTTACAGCTACATAAATGAGCTCAAAATAACTTACTAGTTCTCTGAATAACTAGTTCTGGACATAAATTCTTTTGAAAATACAGGTACCTTCCAAAGCATAGAAGAGAGACATACTAATCTGTGCATTTTGTGAACTGGGAGACATTTTGATGCTTTTCTGGGTGAGAAAGATACTTTTATGTAAAAGTGTTGCTGAAATACTTTTTACACCAATCATTTTTGCTGATGTATTTGAGTAAATGTGACAGTAGTGTTCCATGCACCTACAAGAGACACATCCAAGTTTAGTACTGACAAACTGCTCAGATGTGTCAAGACTAGTAGCTTTCATTTATGTACTCAGTGGCGGGCAATTGCTTCAGAACACAGTGTTTTCAGACACAGTTCAATGAACATTGCTGAAAGGCTGTCTCTGATATGTGATTTTTTTCCTATTTCTTTGCTTCTTCTTAGATCTATATTTTTAATATCTGTATTCCATGTCCAATTGATTGATAATTTCTATATATTTGAGGTTTGCCTTTGAAAATTAGACTATTGAAAATTTGTACATTGGCCAATTTACCCACTAAATCCCATTCTCCATTTGAGATGTAGTTGGAAATATCAGCCTCGAGCATCTGCAGGTCAATCAACCAGCCACTGTGAGTCCAGGAGCCAAACTTCAAATCACACTTCTGCACATCAAAGGGGAACCAGCGGACATCAATGTAACATGTGCTCTTCAAAATGCCTGTAGATAGAAACCAGTCATGATCACACATGTGCAGGGTGCATTTCATCTTACCCTCATCTGTCTCTGATTGAGAACAAGTTTCCTTTTCAAAAATTCTGTGTGATACAGTCATGGGGTAACCAAACAAGTACTGCAGGTGGAAGATGCTGCCATGAGTGGAATAATGTTCCTTCCTCCTCCAGTGAAGATCTCTCTCACTGCATCCTTGAGGCAGATTGTCTGGGACACTGCGGCCATCCAGGAGCAGCCCAGCCTGTTTCCCAGTGCCAGCTGGCCCTATCAGATTGCAGGCAGTGTTGCTTGGTCTGACAGGAGCAAAGAGTACACCCCAGGGGCTTACTGTGCTGTGACCAGTTCTTTGAAAGGAGTTCCTGGACAGGCCATGCCTCAGGCCCACAGCCCTTTTAAAGTACATTGCTCTCCTAAACCTTGCTTGGTGATGGCCTTTATCATCTATGTGGTAACCAAGCTTGGATTTTAACTCTGGCTGTGTCTAGTTCATGTTCTGGGATGATTTAAGGGGTCTAATGGGTAGGGAACAACAGGGGAGCAGCCATCAGGGAATGATTGCTGATCCCTACTGGGCCTTGTGGACCTACTTGGAGACAGTGCTATGCTATGACACAAAGTTTAGGAATTTTTTTGTCCACCACAGTGAGCAACTGCAGAATAGCCTCTCTGTTCACAGGTGAGTCCTGAATGCTGGAACACGCAGGCGGGGAATCAGCAACAGAAATTAAAAGAGACTGATACTTAGGCCCCACTGGTTGAGACCAATCCCGATTGTCTTGTTACCTGGATTTTAGCCTCAGCCTGGCAAGCAGGGCTTCAGTGCTGAGCGAGTGCTGCTCTTGGGGTCACCTCTGCTCACACACCTCTCCACACAACAGACACCTAGCTGGAGTGCACGTGAAACATGATGACATAGTGCACACCGTCTTACTTTGGATGACACCTTAGGGGTGCCTCTGGATGTTTTGAGCAAATTGGTCAGAGGAATATTTTACTGCTTAATAAAGTGTAAATGCCACTGATAGTGGACTTAAATTTTCATAGTGGGTCTGTCTCATTATTAGACAGTCTAATAATATTTGCAAGGTTGCAAACATTAGGTTGCAAAATTTCCACAGAGGGCTTTTAAACACCGTTTGTTTCATTCATGAAGGAAACCTGCTTGAAATTATTTGATTAAAAGTGAATAAATACTCTTTGTGCCCTACCTGGAGGAATATATTGGCAGGATCCAGAGTAGTTCACCAGCACATTTGTGTGAAAAGTTGCATCAAATCTTTCATCTGCACTGTAACACAGTATAAACAAAACAGAACAAAATAAAGAAAAAGCAAGCTGATGTGCAAGTCAAGATGTAACTGTCAACATAAAAATAATCTTTTGGCTGAATTAAGTTCCTACATCTGGGTGAAGTGTCCCTTGATAAATATCTCAGTTCTTTGTAGTTACTCTCAGCCTGCACCTTGGCAGGCTGCTTGCATGCTGCAATGTCCCCGAAGAAGTGAGAGGCAGAGTGTTGCATGTCTCAGAAAAAAGGCAGAAGGAAAAGAAGCAAAAGTGCCACATTAGATGTATCCCAAAACTGGACAGTTGGGACAATGATGCTCTTCTAGGGCACCTGTCAAAATGAGTCAGCTCACCACATAAATCACCTTATCTGTTATCTTACCCAGATATCTGTAGTAACAGATACATTGTAACAGCAATGGTGGCCTGACATAACAACTCTGCAGTCTCCTCAGACGCAGAGAGGATAAGAGTTTGCTTCCAGCATTGGAAGAAACCACTGGAGAGAAGTTATTTTAGGAGCTTGAAGGAGGAGATTCATTGAAACTCCAACAGCAGGAGGGACCAAGAATAAAGAATTTCTTTACTATTCCAAAATTCTGAGATAATTAAAGGGGTAATGAGCCAAACAAGGACACGATTCTTCAAAGAAGCAGGTCTGGGGGCTTGTTCCAGAGGGTCTTTTAGAAAGAGATTAGCCACAGAGGGATCCCCTAGCTTGTAGAGCCTTGCCTGTACTGGCTATGTGCAGGTTTGTGTTGCATGACTTCACCATCCTGCACACCGTCTTTCTACCAGATTTTAAAAATTCAGAGCCTCCATTACTCTTCTGGTCTGCTTTTTATTCATGTCTTGAGTCTTCAGTCCCCAGTACAAAACAAAGGGGATGGCACTGAAAAGCCTAAGTTCAGAACAAGTGATATTTATCAAAAACATAAAAGACAACAAAAAGGGGTTTTATAAGTACAAGGGGACAAGGAAGAGAGGAAAGGAAGGGAAAAAACAACAGGGTGCAGAGAGCTGCAGTTTCCTGCACCCTGTGTCCCTCACTCTTCGCAACCCATTCTCACACAGTGGCAGGAGTCCATGGCAGAACAGGGGATGAACAGGTTAAGGAAATGTAGATAAGAGAGATTTTACTCAGCAGAGCTGATGAAATTTACTCTTGAGAACTGAAAGGACTGGCCAAAATACCCTCTGAAGCATTAACAATTATCTGTGAGAGCTTGTGGAGAAGAGGGAAGGGCATGGTGAATTAGGGGAGATCAAAGAGAATTCTGACTTCTTTTAAAGGTGAAATTATAGACATCAGCCTAACTTCAAAGAAAATGGGGTGAAACATCTGGCACAGATTTGTGAAGGGCCAATTGCATCAAATCAATCTATTTTTCTTACTAAAAGCAGGCTGGTATCTATCTGAATTTCAGCATGTTCATATAAACTACAGTAATATGGACCAAGCTGTACACCTCCTTTTTAGAGATTGAAAAGGAATAAAGAGACAGTAAGAAGCAAAGCTGAGGTAAAGTAAAGCACTTAAACAATCTAGGTGTCTCTAGGCCTCCTTTGGATATCTTGTAGTAAGGATTCGGAATGGAATATAGATCATGGTGAACTCTGGAAACTAACAAAATGAAATTTAATCTGGGTAATTAGAAAGTATTACCCTGAAAACTGTCAGAGAAAGACATAAGAGGGAAAATCTAGTAAGACAGGGCAGCTGAACAACAACAGCTGGGGTTTGCAATAGATAAAAAAAAATAAGTCCAGAATTAAGATATTATTAGAGAAACCCCAAATCCCCTTCTCCTGGAAAGCATTAAGGAAACAGCTGTCTAGAGAGTTTCCACTTCATTCAACACTGCAGCAATGCTGTCTAGAGAGCTGGATTCACCTCTGTAGAAGGAAAAACAGATTAGCGAATGTTCAGAGTAGAAGAACGATGGAGAGGTTTATAAAATATGTGATAATGGAAGTGAGATGAAAATCCATTTGTTTACTTCAATCAGAAACACTATGACACATATAGGACAGTAGCTCTCCTGCAGATACAGTAATTTTGAAGAGACTGTAATAGTTTCCTCTTTGCGTTCTCTGAGAAAAAGTTAAAGAAGACATCTGCGGAACTACAGCAAGGAAGATCAGATGGGCTACTTGAGAAATGTGTTCACTGATGCTTGCTTGTTTTTGTTACTCTTTAAGGATAAGGGGAAATCCACAGAGGGCAAAAGGCCCCCAGTATCAGTGAAGCATAGCTGATTTTCTGCACTTCTAGTCTCCTACCAGCCATTTCACATCTTGCTTACCTGTTATACAGAAGAATGTCTGGTACCCAAATCTGGTCGGAAGGAAATCGCAAGTTCTGCACTCCTGGATATTCATACTGATCCCAAGACAAGTAAACATCAACCCAGTACTGTTGACAAACACATACATCAGATTATATGAGCTTTTAAAAGTCTTCTAAGTTTTTTGTAATATTTTGGGATTAGAATAGATTTTGCCAATAGCAATAGCCTCAGTATGATAAGAGTTTAATGCTCAGTTTTAATTATTAAGAAAGGCTGGCATATATAGAGGAAATAACTTCAGTGTGACTACTGAAGACAGTCCTTAGCTTTTCATCTTGTGTCCAGGCATCCCAAACCTTTGCTGGACCTTTGCTGGCAGATCTGCTGGCAGTAGGCACTTCCATGAGGTCTGCTGGTTCTGAAGTAAAGTGGTTTTTGAGGTGGTTAGTGCTAGGTGAACCATGGTCTGAGTCGCCTCATTGGGTGGAAATAATTTAATCTGTTAGAAAGGTTGGGTGGCTCTTTTACTAACCACCTTGCTATGAGAGGTAGGCAAGTGAACTTTACATGCCAAGGGACTGTTTCTGATCCCATCTCCTCCACCTCAACACAGTTAATTCAAGAAAGGTGCAGGAAGAGCTTTCGGGAAGAACCTTCTGACTTACAATGAAGCTCAGTGGGAGGCTTGCAAGGGAAACCTTAATCAGTGAAACGTCTCTGCGGAACATCTGAACCTGTGGAAGAACTCTGCAAAGGACAGAACACCTACAGGCTCTGACCTAACAATCCTGTAGTCATATAGGTTTGTCTCGGTTAGTTTTTGCAATATGAATACGCTCATTTCTGCTGCAAATCCCAGCAGGTAGCTGAGGAAGAAACAGCCTCAGCTGAACATATTAATATGAGATAGTGTTTGGCAGTGAAAATCAAAGTGGAATAAGTTTAATCATTCAAGTCTCCACTGGTTTTTACTGTAAGAACTGCTTCCTTCCTGACCACAAGCCCCTAAGGAGATCTGTTTATGCAGCATAAGAAAACACTGTATCCCTCACCATAGGCAGCCAGGCAGACCTGATGGGAAATTCCATCCTGTAAAGGAGGTCCCTTTCCTTTGTGAAGGTCAATTTTGCTTTTTCTGTGTGAGCATGCAGGTGAATACTCAGGTGGAGCAGATTGCAGAAGAGGGACGAGGAACGTTTATGTAAGAGGTTTGTCAAGCATGAGGGAAGGCAATATCCCAGAGAGCTGCCTGGGTGCTGCCAGCAGCAAAGCAGCCCTGGGCCCTCTGTGGTCCCTGGACTACCCACCACCCCCTATGAGTAGTCTGCATGTGACCACTTCTGTGTTCAGGGACAGATGCCCTGGCTCCCAGTCTCGGGCCAAGGTGGAAATTTCCCAGAAGTGGTAAGTGCAGGTGCCTGTTTTACTGGATGTTTGGCTTGCTCATAAGTCCCCATCACTGGCTATGGAGAGGGCCTTGAGCCCCTTGAAGATACTCTTCTCAGCTATGATGAGACTCTAACTCTGGACTCTGTTACTAGATCATTACATCCAATGGCAAAACAATGCAGCTGGTTTCCATGCTCAAAAGGTCAACAGGTCTGTCCAAAGGATTAATGTAGTCTCCTGAAGTTAATTTTCAATTCTAAAAGGAGTACTAGAGAAATTTTAAAAGGACTCAAAATGCCTGTATTGCATTAAACATAATCTATAAGACAGCAGTCTTGCTTTTCTGCTAAGAAATCACATTCAGTAGTTTTCAATTAGAGTTTCTTTACTAACAGAGGTTACTCACCATCTGCAGCCAAGCATTGGTGATCAACACCTGATTCTTCTCATCCTTTGAACAAAAGAGGGAAGGAAAGACAAGAGAAAAAGGGATGAAACAGTTTGATTAGAGATGGAAGAGTTTCTACGTCTTTTAGAGAATCAACACTTTTGGGGTACATAAACCAAACTCCATGGAGTAGATTGTGAGCTCACTGGAACACCACTATTTGGCTCAGACAATAGTGGCTCTTTTTCTTATCCTTTAAACCTACAGACTCCCTGTGTTTGTCATAACTGATCAACAATAGAAAGGAAAGTAATCGATGATTAACTTCTTTTTCTGGGGATGAATTCCTTACCAAGTTTTACCTTCTAGCTACCTGCTCAAAACAAGATGTTTTTCAGTACCACACTAAATGTCATAGCTGGAGATATTTTATGTTGTGTTTGCTTCCACTACAAAGCAATGATGAAATAATGCCAGAAGTGCTGTTCTTTTCAAGTATCATTGCTATGTAAGTTAGCTCTGGCTAAAGGAAAGAAAGGGCTGGCCTTAGGCTGAAGCTGTCACTTGGCTAAAAGGACACAAATGCTGCATGAGAGGGAGCTCACACAACACCTTCACAGAGCAGGAGTCTGCAGGTTCATTCCTGCATGCAGAGGCCACGGGGAAGAATCTATTATAACAGAAACAAAGATGTTCTCACCACCCAGTTGGTGCCCAAGTTCTGTGCCTGGCTTTCTGCAGTTACTCAGCAGGTCCAGGACCTGCACTGTGGGGATGGAGAAGCAGGGCTGCAGAGTCACTGTGATGCAGATACACAGGTCCCAAACACCACAGCAGCCAAGCCCTGTACCTCCCAGGAGCTGAGGCAATGCCGGCTCACTGTATGCCCAGCTGTCCCTGTGTGTGTCCATGCCCTAGGAAGCTTATGTGGTTGTCTGCAGTGTCTCAGGTGGGAGACATTGCTATTGCAAGCTGCTTGGCACACATTTAAACCATACAGAGAGCTCCCTGGACATGCATGCCCTCTCTGGTCATGTCATTATTGCAGTACTTACTCTCCAACAAGGTAGAAAAACCTAAACTGCCCTATTCACTTTGGAAGAACTCCCTCCTCCCCTCCCAAGCCACCCTCACAGTGCATATGCAAAGAAACTTGCCCAGAAGTGTCAGGGAAGGGCTGCTCAAAATCAAACTGCAACATCTAACTGCAACCCTAAGTGTGTCTGGTAATCTGTGTGTCCTCTGGAGTTACTTCTGTGTCCCATGGAGGAGCTGCAGATTCCTAGCCTAAGGCATGAAGGAGAACTGCCCAGAGAAGTCTCCTAATTACCAATTCCCCAGCACAGCAGACACTGGACCAGTGATACTGCTGAATTCTTAGCATGAACCTTGTCTGTAGCATCATCTCCTCTTTTTACATTTGGGTTGTTGGAGCTCCAGAAATACAACAACCTAGAAAGGGAGACATCATTGACTATTACAGAAACACTCCAGCAATGAGTCCAGCTGTAACATCAACTTCTGGAGGACTCCTGATTGGGCACTGTGGCCAGAGTTAGGCTCTGCAGCCAAGCCCCTTTTTACCAGGAAAGGCAAATTTCAGACAGGAAACAGGTCTTTGCCATAGTGATCCCCATAAAACTGTCTATCACAGTACCTCTTCTTGAGTCCCCTTGAGACCTGACTACACTGTTTCTGCTGCTGTGAGATGCCACACAAAAATCAGATGTGATTTTATATTGTTACACTGATCATACATTTCCCTTTCTCCTCTTTGCTGCTCCAGCAAACATACTCCTCTCTATATGCAAACTACAACCCACCTCCAGAGGCTTGGTCCTTCTGCACCCCCTTTTGTTCCCTTGGTTGCTGTGGTTGAAGCAATTGTAAGAAAATCTGTAGAAAAATCAGAGAAGGACTGGGCTTGTTGAGACAAGTTTTTTAGATGCTGGAGGATTCAAACAAGATCTTGAAAAATAAAATTCTAAAGAATAACCCTAGAGCTGGTAATTGATAGAGTCATCAGAGCTATCTGTGTCCACTGACCTGGAAAATGAAAGCAACCCAGAAACACAGAGGTTGTGTCTCAAGGATCCTCAGAGGCTAACCACCAGCCCATCTGATTGATGCATTCCTGGCCACCAGTGACTCCTGAGGTGTCCTGTAGGGCTGACAAGCATGATGGTCGTCTGAATTGCACATCAAGTACTAACAATATTTTGTGCACTTAGCCAAAGAATGCTTTACACTTGTACGCTGCACATGTCCTCCTAACAAAGACTTACTGTGTACTGTTAAAAGAGCCTGAACAACATGATTAAAAATCTGGTCAGCAACAATCAGCCAATGCCACTGCTGTACAGAACTAAGGGTTTTTCCCATCTACACTGAAACTTGCAGGGAAGGGGAAGAAGGGACATTCCTCATTTTGTCATCTACCTATGTAAACCTCACAGGAATGCATTCAAGTCCAATGTGAGGCTGGGGGTTTCCATCATGTGCAGATGCCTTCCATCAGGAACCTTTCACAAGTGGCTCTGATTTACAAGGAAACTAATTTTTTTTCTCACACAGTAAGTTTGTACTAGACAGCTTGCAAAGGAAGATATCTCAGGCTAACTTCTGTATTTCACAAAACAGTTTGTTGTCTTTACCTGTTTAACTGTGTGTCAAATACTAATAACCTGGCTAATCAGCTTTGAATCCAAATAATTATTCAGACAGGTATTCCACGTAATGTTAAATTTACTGTCTTGGGTCTGCTTTGCCTGCTTTTTTACAGGGCTACTGTGCTTAGATATGTTTTGTAGTCAACAGAAAACTTACAGTTTTGAGTTCTCAAATGCTTATCTAGAGAGCAATGATGGTCTTCCTTGTCTGGTGTTTAGATAGCAGGAAAACCACAAGGTCTAACAAGGGCTTTGGGCTGCTTACATTTCTCTTAGCTTGGGTGAAACAATAAAGTCACTTCAGGATGTTTTCTTGGCCATTCAGAGACTATTCCCATCATTGTCCTCAGGCTGCTGAGCTCTTAAATGGCATCTGACATTTTGGCAAAACACAGAAAATGCTCACATATGTAGCGCTGGTCAACAGATGCAGCCTGATGGGTCCTTCTCATTGCATGACAGAACAGAACATTTTTCAAACAAGGATCTGAGTTTTACAAAAGTGCCTGGTTTGCAGAAGCAGCAAAGCTGACTTCATACTGGGCAGGCATTTTTCCAGGTGTAGCTCTCCTACTAAGTCCTTTCTGGAGGAGGACCCTGAGGAACCAAGGAAAAAGTGCCTGCTGGGGCTGCCAAGGAGAGGAGGGCCATGGGAACCTTGAGTCTGAGTTCACCCCCTGTTAGAATGAGAGGCATTTGAGAGCTGAGGTGTCTATGGAGCTTTCTATCTTTGTGGTAGCTTTGCATTCTGTAAGGAAATACTTTGGCCTTTGCAGTAGGCTGATTGTCTGGCCTTTCCAGAGCTGCAGAAGAATTACAGCTCCTGCTATCTTCATCATGACCTGTGTGCTCTATGCACCCCTAAAATAGCTTAGCACAGAAGGGACTGTATCTTTCTGTTACACAGACACACACAAACAATTAACTTGGACAAAGTCTGTCCCAGGAGATCACTGGTCACTTAGCTTTGCAGAAATTAAAAGGTAATTATTGAGCTTGGGAAGTGTTGGAGGCAGTTCTCTCATTCTGTGTCACTGGTTTATGCAGAGGGGTTTAAAGGTTAGTTGAGAGGATGCCTTTCCTCCCAGGAGAAAACATGAATAATCTCTCACACTGCTTTTTCTGTTCAAGATTCCCGTCTTGGCACTGTCAGTCTTAGGAATGACCTTCCCTTTGCATTGGGCCAGATCTCAGCTCCCATCTTTTTTTGCAGCAAAGCATTGAAAGCAGTCCTGCAAAGATTCTGGGTGAGGCTAAAAATTATCAGCTCCCAGAGGTGCTGTTCCATCATTCCTCTGGCAGCTCTCCTGGTTTGCAAATGTTTAGCTCAGACAAATAATTTTGCTTCTAGTATTTAAAAATGCTAGAAAAGCTGTGGTCACAAGTGAGTGCAACACTTGTTCTCTAAATCCTTCCTATATTTATCTGGGTCATTTCTCTCCTTTCTATCTCTAGCCTTACTCCAGTTAATCCTCTGCCCTGGATATCTGCTTATTCCTACCACCTTTGACCCATGTAAAGTGACAGTTTGGTTTGTTCTGGTGCACATGCTGTGACATGTGAATGTTTTAGTTTGGTTTTCTTTTCCCTGCCCTAAATTTAAAGATACAATGTATATACATCTGCCTACATTGTGCACCACTGCCCTTCAGATGCTCCCTTGCCAGGTCAACACCCTTACCTACCCATAACTACTTGGGTCACATCACCTGGACAAAAAAATCCAAAGCCCTTCCTGGTTCGGTAGTCACATCATATGACTACATGTCATCTATGCAGCAAGGCATTTGTTACCACATGATCAGCAGGTTTCATTAATTCTGGCCCTCTCACAGAGCCACGGAAGTGGGAGTTGAATCAGCCACTGAACTATTTCAAGACAATGATCAGAAAAGTCCCTAATTGAACAAGTAGCTCTCAATGGTCATGTGTGACTACTTAGGTACCACTCCAGGTAATTAAATTTTTTTTCCCACTGTTTTTATACCTGAATATCTGAAGATGAGAAGTGAAGCTGTCAAGTGACATGAAAATATTGACATGGAGACTTGTAAAGTTTTGTTAGCAGAGACACTGATCTTCGAGTGGGACCTTATTCAAAATATCCAAAGGAATTGATCAAGCTTTCAAATGCTTGTATGCTCCATCTACAACTGTACAGGCACTCCTTTCCATTGCTGAACCACCAATCTACCCACAATTTTCAGCTGATTATCTAAAACTCAAATGCATTGAATGGTTGAAGGCTCACAGAGCCAGTAATTTTGAGGAGTGCCTAGGTTGCCCTGGCAACATTCAAGTAAGTATTGCTGGACAGCCTTTTTATTTCAGGGCTCTCATTAAGAAGCGGAAATAAACCTTGTCATGGTAACATCAACTAGGTAGGGATAACTT